TTAAAAATAAATATTATTTTAAAATAATATTATAATTTATAAAATATTATAAAATAATATTATAATTTGTAAAATATTATAAAATATTATAAATAATAAATATTTTATAAAAATAATAAAATTTAAAAATCCAATTTTATGCACACAACTTCTGTCCAACCCACATTTCATCAATCCAACAACAAATCCAAACATCAAAAATAAAAACAAAGAACAAAGAACAAAGAACAAACAAACAAACAAACAAACTCAATAAGCCAAAGAGATTCATAAAAACAAAACACTTTATTATTAAAAACAACCGATTCAATGCAACATTAGCATCAAAAGCGTTACAAAACTAAATTTTCATTCCTCATTCATGCAATATCTAAAACAAAATCCACACACAATCTAATTTCACATAAACATATAACCCAACAATATTTATTTTTGAAAATAAAAAATTTAAAAATCCAATTTAATGCACACAACTTCAGTCCAATCCACATTTCATCAATCCAATAACAAATCCAAACATCAAAAAATTAAAAAAACAAAAAAAAAAAAAAAACAAAACAAAACAAAACAAAACAAAGAACAAACAAATAAACAAACTCAAAAAGCTAAACTGAAATACAAATTTTTCAATATTTCAGCAATCCTCACCACAATATTTCAATGCAATACCACAAAATATCATAAAATAAGAACTCCGGCCTCCTCAAAGAAAGTTCCACCAGATAATTAGAGTAAATGAATACATCCATTTAAAAGCTCTATTATGTAATTTTTTTGTATTTATATTTGATTTTAAAAAATATTCTTTGGTAGACAAAAATAGCTTCATTTGAGTCAAACTTTCCATTCACAAGGCTCATTTTTTTTTCCTATGATTTTGTGACTGAATGCACTCAAGTGGAGTTCAAAAAGAATACTCCAATTATTTGGTAGATCTACAATCATTTGAGTACTCCAATTGTCTGGTAGAATTAGTTGTTGTAAAAATATATATAATCATAATTTGTAGGAATGTATAGATGTAGAATATTTTTATTAAAGTATTGTGGCATTATAATTTGACTAATTAAACTATATGTATTCATTTTCATTTTATAAGTACTTTAAAATTTTGCTAAAATTTGCTAAAATTTTTCAAGGTTTTATTAGAATTTTATAGAGGTATTATTTTGACACTTACAAGCTTATTCTAATTGTCTAGTAGAACTTTTGCCATTGTGAATGGTCTAGCTTTAAGAATGAATCGGAGAGCAATTGTTCAATGACAACGTAGGAAATGAAAGAGAATACAAAGAGAATCTAAAATAGTTAGAAGTGTTGAAGCCATACATAATCTAGGAAGGATGAATGTTTTGTGTCCTCATTGTAATGCATTGCATTGATTTGATGAAAATTTAGTCTGGTCGTCGAGGGAGTTGTCATTATTTGGATAATATTGTCATTAAGAAAAATTTTCTTTCACATCTCTAATGCATCTAATCTTACTGTCTCTATCCAAAAAAATCAAGATGTACATTTGAAGTAGATCTCTCTTTTGAAATTCAATGGTATAAAGATGTACAACAACATGACCAAAGACAACTTCTTTCTTTATATCTTCTATAATTGCATGTCTCTCGAGCTCAAATATACGAGCAACTAAATCTTGCTGGTTACTTGCTCGTTATCTTTGAAGCAATTTATTCTCGATTTTGGACAATCTTGGATTTGCTGTCATTGTCATAAAAATATGAAGATGCTAATAAAACCTTATAATTTCCATAGAATCTTGAAGTATTTCTATCATATATCTTGCACTTCCAATATGTGATGATGGAAGTAAGATCCTACGTCTTAAATTATTTAATTCATATTATCTTTCTTTATGCCCAATACTTTCATGAGTTATAACAATATCCACCAATCCTTGGTATAAATTAGCATATAAATTTCCTTGATTTTAAGGTAGATATTGCGAATGTGATTGCTTAGTTGTTGTCCATTTGTCAACCATAAATTCTTATAATAGCTTTCTTCCATACAAAATTGTGGAATACTTAGTAGACCTTAAAAAAATCGATAAGCAAAATAATCTATATGTGTTAAATTGTTGCCTTTCCAATCCTCTCATCCAGCACCTTCTCTTTCTTCAATAATATCCATTACTACATATTGTGCCCTTAGATTAAGATGCCATCGATGGATTCTCTGTGAAAAAAAACAAAAAAAACAAAAAAAATAAACAAATAAGTAGAATGAGTCTCATGAACCTTTTCTAATAGCCTATGACTGCATAGGCAAAGAATAATATCACGAAGTGCATTATGCTCTGATCCATCTCCATGCAATATAATAGTAATTTCTTCAAAAGTGGTGGGAAGATTATATCGATATCTATTGCTCTCATTCATGAAGTTCAAAGAGACAGCAAGATTTACTTCTACTACTTCATTCTGTGCCTGAGATAGTATTTCATGTGCCTATCTATACAATCTAATAAACAAATTATTCTCCCTTATAGCTTTTCCAATTTCTCACATAGTTTGGCTCAATAATCCAAAATTATGACTCATTCTTCTATCTTGTATAAATGATGCATCATAAATATAGAGTTGTGCATAACTTGGGTCGATTCTTTCTTTTGGTAACAATGCTCCTACTAAATGGCGCAACTCTCTATTTATTCTAAAACTATATGGAGCATTTTTTTGAAGTACAAATCAATCAATATTTGTACCTAAGGACGTAAACACATGTGTAGCATTATACTGATGGATATTTTCTATGAACTCCCTTACATCTTCTATCATCAAATAAGCTCTTGCATCTTGGTCCTCAAATAAGCATTTCAAAAGCAAAGGCGAAGAAGGTAGAGATGGTAGAGAAACTTTTCCTTGATGACAACATTGTTCAAATAATGGCAACTCCTTTGGTAATTGGACTAAATATTCATCAAACCAATGTAGTGCATTACAATGAGAATACAAAATATTCATCCTCTTTAGATTATGTATGGCTTTAGTACTTGTAACTATTTCAGCTTTTCTTTGTACTCTCTCAAGTTTCTTACATTATCATTGAGCAATTGCTCTGTGATTCATTGTTAAAGCTGGACTGTTCACAATGACAAGGGTTCTACTAGACAATTAGAATGAGCTTATAAATATCAAAATTATACCTCCATAAAATTCCAATAAAACCTTGAAAAATTTTAGCAAAATTTAGCAAAATTTTAAAGTACTTGTAAAATGAAAATGAGTACATGTAGCTTAATTAGTCAAATTATAATGCCAGAATATTTTAACAAAATATTCTATATATCCCTACAAATTATAATTATACATATTTTTACAACAACTTTCTATAACAAAAAGCTCAATTTTTTCAAAATATTTTATTTTGCAAATCAAAATGAATGAATAAAATAATAAATATTTAAATATTTATTTATTTTATTTATATAAAAAAATAGATAAATATATATATTCATACATATGAAATTGAATATAGAAAATTTTATTTGAGAAGAAGAAATGAAATTCCTACAATTTAATTTTTATACAACAATTCTTGTTTAAAAAAACTAAAAATAAAAATAATAACTAATAACTTTAAAATAATAAAATAATATTTTAAAATAAAAAATTAATATATTTTAATATAGTAATAATAAAATAATAATAAAATAAAATATTATCTTAAACATAAATATTATATTAAAATTATGAATAATAAATAATTTTTTAGAATGATAAAATTTAATAATCCAGTTTCATGCACACAACTTCAGTCCAACCCACATTTCACCAGTCCAACAACAAACCCAAACATCAAAGAAAAAAAAAACAAAACAAAAAAACAAAACAAAACAAAACAAAACAAAGAACAAGCAAACAAACAGACAAACTTAAAAAGCTAAACAGAAACACAAATTCTTCAATATTTCAGCAATACTCACTGCAATATTTCACCGCAATATTTCAGCAAATATCATAAAATATCATAAAATTAGAACTCAAGCCTCCTCGAAGAAATATGCGTGCATCTTAAAGTTGATTGTAGCAATATTTTCAATCAGCAAGATTGTAAACCCATGCTGCTGCTCCTTCCTCGTCGTAAGCCCCTGATGAGATAACAAAGAAACCTCCCAAAAGCAGGATCCACGATGAACCCGTGTTGTTAATCCACGATGAAATTCTTCTGAAATTCTGATTGCAAAGCACAATGATAATAATTCGTAATTCATAAATTCGACAAAACACCAATGTTTGAAACACACAGAACACATTATTCTTACTCGAAACACAAAACTTAAACACATGCTGAGCCTTCCCCGATGTAAATGCCTTTCCAGTGTCTACATGATTGCATGTGAAACACCATGAAAAACACCGTGTACAACTCCTGATCAACTGTAAAACGGGTTGTAAACTCCACAAAACATGAACCTTTTTGATGAAAACGAAGGCCCATCCATGCGGTGAAGGAGAGCCACCACTTGTCTCGAGCGATCTTAATATATTGATTTCTTACACTACAAATAACATATATGAGTTGCAAGAATTCTTCCTGAAAACAAGAGTATCAAGTATATCGAGTATGGCAACAAAACAAACAAACGAAAAGAAGAAGAGGAAATGCGGTGTGGTTACCGAAGCGGCAAAGGTGAAGAGTTAATGGAGTTGGTGAAATGAGAAAAAAGAGACAGTGGGGGTGAAAATCTGTTCTGTGCGGAACAGCAGGGAGGGTTTGAATTGCTCTACCGCAACTGGGGCCCAGCTTCTTGCAGACGGATCGGCTTCAATTCGCTGCAGAGACAAATCCACATGAAGCCCCTGCCCGAACAATAATAATAGCAACAACAAGAAGAAGAACAATAATTACAATAATCATAAAAAATAAGGTTGGGAGAAGAAGCGGAATAGAAAATTGGAACAGTCAGGGAAAAGGCCTCTCAACTTCCACCTTTTGAATAAAAAGGCCTCGGTATTTTGTTAGGGATTTTGAAGGGATGGTACACTGACAAGCACAGTCATCAACAGCAGCTCACAGACAGAGATTCTGGGAGTCCCACAGAGAAAGCCAGAGCTGCTTTCAAGCTCACTGTCTCTCTCTCTCTCTCTCTCTCTCTGTCTGGGTCGCTCCCCTCACTCAGCTTCAAGCTAGGTTTCGTTGCGGAGCACAATTAGCACAAGCGCAAGGAGTTCCCCCCCCCCTGGTGGCTTACAATCAGGGGGCGGGGGGGAGGCTGGGTTGTTGGCTCGCGGAGCTTGGACATGGACATGAGCCGCGGAGGCTTCAAACAAGCAGCGTTGAAGTTTTCGTAGTCTCTTACACCGGCACTACAGGTGGGTCGAAGTGATGTTGCCGAGCTTCGGATGTTGCAGTGGTCGGGTTTGAGAAATCGGGAGTGCTTGCTGTCGTGGTGTTGATAGGTTTCGTTAGAGGAATTGGGAGTTGAGATCGTGTGTGTGTGTGCATGGGCGATGTGTTGCAGGGAATACCAGGCATTCCGATGAGCTGCAAAACCGTGATGGGTGAGCACGGGAGCAGCTCCTCGTTGGCACCATTGCTGGTGCACGCGGCAGTGGCTGCGGGCGCCATCACCATCGCAGCGGCCCTTAACCATTACTGGTTCCGGGCGAGGTTGAAAGCTCGGCCTCGTGTGGTGGGCGTTATTCCTGCGCGCTTCAAGTCGTCCCGTTTCGAAGGCAAACCTCTGGTGCATATCATGGGCAAGCCCATGATTCAGGTGCTCCATTATCCTAAGACCTTGTTAGGCTATTCTCGCTCTGCCGTGGAATGATTTGTTTGCGTGAGTACATTTATTTGATCTGTTCTTTTTCTTCTTCTTTTTGTGTTTTTCTGTAGGTTCTTCTTGATTCTGCTTTGTCTAGGGTTCGGGAGTAATCGATTGGGTTTGGATTGCTGAGAGGTCAGTGTAATGTGGTTGGATGGTGTAGAGGACGTGGGAGCAAGCGATGAAGTGTACCTCACTACAAGCTATTGGTTAGTTTTCGTTCCTCGAAGTTCCCTCGACTCTGTCTTGCTAGGGCTTCACACAAAATCTCAGACTCTGCACATCACATTTCAAGAGAAAAGAAATTGAGAGGACTTTGGGGTTGAGTAGACCGGTGGCGTGTTCACATCTTTGTTGGTATGAATTTGGTCGTTACGGAATGAGTTGCGGATGTAATTGTGTCCACAAGCTGTTGACTGTTGTATGAATGGCGTTTGCATGCGTGCCACTCTCTGCGGCGCAGTGGTGGCTACTGATGACGATAGAATTGCCGACTGTTGTCGTGGATTTGGCGCCGATGTCGTCATGACTTCGGAGAATTGCCAAAACGGTGCGTTTCCCTTTTCCCTTTGCATATCTCAGGTTTAGCTGTAAACAGCACTTTGCAGGGCTAGTGTGGAGCTCATAGAAAGACTCCGTAGATAGGTGAAACCTTTGGAAGGATTATATATTCAATTTAGGCTCAGAGAAACCAGTTCCCGAAGGTGTACTTCTTATGGTTTTCGTTGACATAGGTTGACAGATTCTGTGCCCTATTGCAGGGACAGAGCGGTGCAACGAGGCACTAGAGAAACTCGCTGCAAAGTATGACATTGTGGTAAACATCCAAGGCGACGAACCTCTCATTGAGCCAGCTATAATCGATGGCATTGTCCTGGCATTGCAGGTATGCTATGAGCTACAGTGCACGTCAACCCCAGATAGGCTATCTAAATCTTCAATTGCTGGATTGGCACGTGTGTAACATTTGTACCTAGTTAACTTGTAGGAGTTCCTTTTCTATGCAGGTTAAGATTCTGAACCTAATTAATTCATTCACGTCTTGCAGATGTGCCCTGATGCTGTATATAGCACTGCTGTAACTGGATTGAAGCCAGAAGATGCTAGCGACCCTAATCGAGTAAAATGTATTGTGGATAAAAACGGCTACGCCCTGTATTTTTCTCGTGGCCTTCTTCCTTCCAACAAGTATGGCATTTGGCTATATGACCTCTTTTTTTCCTATTGTTTGTTGTAACACCTGAATGAGACGTGCCTTCTGTACTTTGAGGATAAATTACTTTTGTTCCGGCTCTTCATTTCAATGGAAGATCCCCATCTTATTACAGCAGATAGTTACCCCTATTTTGGTGGATGTTGCTTTTCTTGTTTGCAGAAAAGGAATCCCAAATCCAGACTTTCCATATATGCTGCATCTTGGCGTGCAGGTTAGAAGTCTGCCCTGCGGTCATTGTTATATTTTTCTAGAGTCATTTTTATTTTCATTTTTTTTAAAGGCTCGATGTCTAGTAAAATGACGAAAGAAGTGCGAATTACTAATACTTCGCTTAGCGAATTGTTGAATTTTTGCTCGCTTATGTAGTGTGTGAGTTCTGTGACATGATTCCTCTCTCCAGGGGTGAATTTGTTGGCTAATTTATGGTGGGTCCTGTGGTAGTGTTACGATGCAAAATTTCTGAAAGTGTATGCCAGCATGCCACCGTCCCCATTGCAATTAGAGGAGGATCTTGAGCAGCTCAAAGTTCTTGAGAATGGATTCAAACTGAAAGTAAGCCTTATACAATCTTGTTACTCATTCTCCCGTGAATAATTAATTTCAAAAGTTTCGATGATGTGCAATTGGGATAGTCTTCAATCCCTGAACACAGCAGCCCTGTCTAACTCTCTCGCTCTGCAGGTGATTAAGGTGGACCACGAAGCACATGGGGTCGACACACCTGGTGACATCGCCAAAGTTGAAGCCGTGATGCGGGCTCATCATATGGACTAAACCTGTTTTGTAGATTAGGTGTGCAGTAGACATTTAGAAGCACCGGATTTAGAATCTCTTTCTCAAATGCATTGAGTGAGAAACAATCGATCTACTTGTCTGGTATCCTATCAACTCGTGTTTCACTGTTCGTCGGCAAGTTAACAAACCTTATTTCTGTCACTCTTTTCCGTTAATTCTTGGTCTAACTAACTTTCAAGTACAGCTTCAAACTGGGTGTCGAAATCATTTAATGGGTGTACCCACGTTGCAGTTCCTATCAACAGTACCCAAGTAAAAGAAAAATCAAGCGAGGAATCATTCGGGGGTGTAGAAGGGGAGAACCATGTAACTCTTTATGCCTCGCAATCGCCGAGCAGTTGAGTAACGCAACATCAGTACCTGTCGTAGGAATCCTGTCAGACCATGGTCGCAAATATTGTGTGCTTGATAGCGAGGGTGAGAAATGAAATCAGGATAATCCTCGCACAAGAACAGACCAGCAATGGTTAATCTTTGTGTAGAATCCGTATGCTTGGTATCCGCCAGGCAAGCCATCTCGGAGCTTTCACCCCTTCATTGAGGTAGTCAACAGCAGAAGTTATCGCTGGCAGGCTTTCTCAAGTAATAACTCAATCCAGATGAGCAACTGCCCAAAGCTTACTCCAAGCCTAAAGTTCTCAAGAAGAGGACAGATTTGTGCAACAGCTCTTGAATTTTTAAACGAAAAATCTACCCAGCATTTACACGATCATATTCTCTCTCTCTGAACATGGAGGTTAACAGATGCTCCAACATGCAGGCTTGTGTGGAGCTACTGCTGCTCACATTTCGAGTTTATTGCCACGAAACTCATGTGGTCAACGGGAAGGAGTCAGTCAAGGGTTGAAACCTAAAAAAAGAAAAGGCGAATGGGCAATATCTGTAGCACCCAAGCCGGCAGAGGAATTTATTGTTAAATTCACCACATGCTGATGAGTTTGGGCTGTTGGCTATAGTTCACCGTCCTCTTTATTGAAGCTGAGAGGTTGGAACCACTGCCAGATGCATATCGGGACTAGAATACTAATCGGGTGAGTTAATGTGGTGGCTATCTGGAGCCCCAATTGTAGATCATTTCTTTCGTGAGCTTAAATAAAATAAAGTGAAAAGGCAAAAAGAAGAAGAAAAATCAGAAAGTAATGGTCTTGTGTTTTGAGAAAATGTAAAATCTGGAATCAGAACTGTAGATGCAAGGGAAGTTTAGGGTTTGAAGGGCATATGTGATGCAAATCAAGGTGAATTGAGTTTAAGACCCACTTTCTAAACATATTTTGTTGTTGATGTTGTTGACTTTGCAATGTGCTACTGTGTGTTTTTTTTGTCTTCTTTCTCAATAGCTGTGTCTCTTATATAAGGGAGAATAGTTCTGTTGTTAGAGACAAACAACAAAGAAATATATAAAAAATGGACACGATTTTTTTGCTGGTGAAGAGAATTTTTTTTTAATGTTTTATTATCCGGAGTGTAAATATATGTTTACAAGTGAAGCTTTTGAAATGAAAGATGGATATCTCAAGTTTACTTGGAACATTACTAGAGTTTTAATAAGATATTGCTAAAGGTGAGGATATTAATTAGAATTTATTTGAAATTTACAAACAAGTTTATAAAGTTATAGATTAATTGGTGTTTACAAGATTCTTTTTGTACTAAGTGGTGCAATTTTCTATTGGTTTGTTATAAAAGTTTTAAAAATATTAACTAAACTTTTATGATTTACTGTATACAAAGTTGCGGTTTTTGGAAAAAAATCATAATTTGTTATCATGATTTACTTCAATACTGGATATCTATAAGAAATTTTCGTTTGAAAAAAATATCAATTTTTTTATACATGCTTTCAAGGATTTTCAAAATGAATACTTATTTATTGTATTTGTTGCAAATATGTATGTTATATATGTAGCAATATCAATTGGAGATATAATATTAATATTTTTTTTGCTCTCTCTCTCTTAATAAATAAATAAATAAATAAATAAATTATACATGACTTCCTCATAGATGACTAGCTAATTATACATTTATTTTTTCTTCTCATATTCTTTTCTTCCTTTGCTTTAAGAAAAAGTTGGTGGTTGAGAAGAAGAAAATAAATATTTTATGAAAAAACATATCACAAATTTTTTTTGTTGTATATATATATATATATATATATATATATATAAGATAATATTTGTGTCAAAAATTATATAATTCATTTTTTTAATTTTTTACTTGGCTACCAAAAATACAAAAAACTTATTCTTAATTTATTTTTTGAATCAATATTGGGATTAAATATTGGGTTGCTAAACATGCCCTTAGCATAGAAGATTGGTTTTTAGTCAATTTAAGTTGTAGAAAAGTCACTTGAGATGTTGCAATATCAATTGGAGATATAGCATTAACAATTCTCTCTCTCTCTTTATATATATATATATATATATATATACAAGGGTGTTGCTAATACCAACACAATTTGCCATTCAAAACATGCCACCAAATTTTTTGCTATTGTTATCACAATTTATTCTTAATAAATTTTTACATATATATTTTTTATTGAAATTAATTTAAAATTTTATGTAATTTAAAATAATAAAAATATTGACATAAATTTTTATTGAAATAAAAAAAAATATATCAATTAGGTGGCAAATTGGGTAGCAATAGAAAAACTATGGTGATATGTGGTGAATGATAAATCATGGTGATATGAGAAGAAATTGTGGTGGCATTAGCAATACTATGTATATATATATATATACAATGATTTACCTCATTTTTTTCATTGCAATACTTTTTATACACAAATATCTACATATAGTTTTTTATTTGTTAAGTATTAGTTTTATTTTTAATGATAGATAAAGTATAAACTTATTCAAGAGAGATTTGTATGAGATCTGTGAAGTTTGTATTTTTGTGATAATGTTATAGAGAATTATTATTTTTATATGCTCATGTATTAAGATTTGTCACACATATATGAAAATATCATTTGAAGTTCAATGCATTTATAAACTTCTTTAATGTTGCATTGAAATTTAATATCACAATCTTTCAAGGAATAGTAAGTATCTTTACATAGGTTTTGGTGATAATTATAATTTAAAAAGCAAAGTATATGTGCCAAGTTAATGTACTGAATGATGTAATTATGTAACACATCACACTCTAAAATATTCAAAATGACAATACAGATTCATATGAAACAAAGGACATGTTATGATGTCAAGGTTTATTTATCAATTCAGCAACATAATTATTTAGACTTTAAAAATGTTGTTTTTTATTTTATTTTTTATTTTATTTTGTTTTGGACCACTGATTTGGAAAAACGAATCTATAAGTAAAGAAATTATTGAAGAAGAAGATTACGACACATTAACTATTCTCCTCATACCAAGATCGTCTTGGGAAAAATGAGCCACCGACATTAAAAACATTTTGGGCACACAATAAAACAAAGCATTCTAACCACTAACTTCCAAATCATAAGTTGCATATTTATCATTTAAAAAAATTAATTTAATTAATTATTTTTTTATCCTAGGGGAAACGTCACTTTCCATTTTAATGAATTCTCATTTACGAATGTCATGAATGCACATTATTTATTTATTTGTTTATTTATTTAATTTAAGTACGTTTCGGTTCATTCAAAGCAAGGAGAATTCAGTGCCACCAACTTGGATGAACGTGGCACTGAGCCAAATCGGATGAATGATAAGCTGACTCAGCCCTCCAAGACGGATGAGATATTGACTCAGCTATCAACGGATGAATGTATGACACGATGGATGGGAGACAAATCAGCCTTGTGTAGGTCACCGAGGCCTTAGCGCTGTGCACGTCGGAGGCGATGACCGCGGCTCGTCGTCCCCTGGGGAGGGCAAGCGATGGGTGGATGTGGGGCTCGTAGCGCAACCGAAGCTTAGCTCCATGGCACGAGGCGAAGAGTGTGAGCGAAATTTTATGTTTCTCATAGTGCAGAGAATCCAATGAACCCGGTTGGGGTCGAAGTCCCAAGTGAGTGGGTATCTGCGCCGCGTGAATTCTGTCGGTCCATTTGCTACGTCGTCAGTCGAAAGGGAGTTGCCTACTGAGTGGGATGAACAAGCGCGCACAAATTCCCATGCACACTTAGTGTATCTGTGCCTGAAACTGTGTGCTGCGATCTTCACATCCACACATCCCTGAGAATGAGTGTGGGGATAAGAAGGCATCGGCCTAAATAACTTACCCCACAGCGTGATAACTTGTTATTGCTCAAGTGTGCTGGAGCTATTAAAGCGTTGCACATCTGGGGTTAGCTGATGTTTACGATATCTACCCAGCTCGGACGATGTTTACGATGCGTCACTGGAAGTGCCCATCGCAGACCAGCATTGAAACGGAAAGGCGGCCTCATGTCAGATCGGTGCGAGACAAACGCACCGTGAGACATGATAAAGGGATGATGTGAATCTGACAAACGAGCATTGTAAGACTGTACGGTGTGTGGAAACAGAGTTGAAACAGTGCCGGCAGGTTCGGGGGCTTGAAGATGCACTTGGATTCATCGTGCCCTGCGCTCAGGCGCTGGACGGTGCTGAGTCTGCACATCGGAGCGTTGGATGATGAAGATTGTAGCATAGGGTGTGCGGTTTGGTCATCGTGTGCAAGTGGGACTGCAGCGGTTCATGATCTGCAGCCCGTGTGATGCTCTCGGTTAGATCTAAGCTAGGTGAAGACTTTTCAAAAGTTTATGTAGAGAGATCGGAAAAAGAAAAGAAAAGTGTGGGATTGCAGAGCACTGTGGTGGGGCTTAGGGGGTGGTGACGTTTGTCGGATCGCTGTATAGAGGTCGTAGCGAACATTTAGCGAAGCATCAAGGACAGACGTGGGATGCTGGTCAACCTGCGTCGCTCAAGCAAGCCATATCGATTTTGGGTCCCTGTAGTGTCGGAGGTTCTTTTGGTACTTGGATCACTGGCTTTGGTGGCATTTTGCAACCAGATCGGTGTGAAGCCTGTAGATGGAGTTGTACAGTTGGAGCTGCTTGTTGTTACGAGGGCGGGAGTGAGTGAGAGAGAGAGAGAGAGAGAGAGAGTTTTGAGTTCAGTTGTGAGTTGTTGTAATTGGCGACTTGGTCACCTCATCTAAGCTCACAGGAGCAGGTTTTGGGTGAAGCTGTTTATGCTTGACTCTTCCGAAGGTGCGGCTGGCAGAGAGGAAGTTTTAGCCTCGGGTTCCTTCGTTCGTTCGAGTCTGCATTTGCTCAATATTAGAATTGGTGGATAAGAGATCGAAGAGGCGGAGAAATTTTGTTGAGCTCGTGGTAGACCTTGTTAATCGATACTATTTCGGAGAGTAGGAATGACATTCGACGTTGTCTTGGAGATTGTGCCGGTGCTGCCGGACGTTGTACTTTGGATACCCGGTGCGCATTCAAGGGAGGGCTGCAATGTTGCGAGCTGCTCGATTACAGGAAAGCCCACAACCGCGGGTTGCAGACCTCTTTAGAATCTGGTGGTAATGGCTGCGTGGCCGGCATAGCTGGGAATACATGTTCGTTTTGAGGAAGATGAGGAAACGATGACAGTCGCTTTTGCAGCTCCGGTGGCTATGGATAGACCCAGCAGGAAGATGGTGGTGAAGAACGTGATGGGGCGGCTCCTCCAATGCGAGGAGAGCTACTCGGAGGCTTTCCTTGAGTCCGCCGATGAGCAGTGCGAAGACGAATTTGTCCTGAACTTGAATCCTTTGCACAGCGTGAAGCCGCCGAGCGAGGTTTATTCGTTTGATCCGTCCGTCCTCTCCCCCAACATATCCCCCGCGTTGCAACGCAACGTGAGAGCATGGCGCGACGCCACAGGATTACCCACTACCATCGTCATTCGTTGCAAGGACCGCGTCTTCCATCTTCACAAATTCCCGGTCGTTTCTCGAAGTGGCTACTTGAAGAAACTGCTCAAGGACGCCAAAGATGTTACCATCCCCAGTCATGTTCCTGGTGGGCCAGACATTTTAGACTTAGCGTTCAATTTCTGTTACGGCTCTAACATCCTCATGGATCCCTCCAACATCGCCGAGGTTTGTTGCGTGGCCGAGTATTTGCAAATGACCGAGGATTATGGCCAGGCTAATCTTTTCGAGCGCAGCATGCTCTACTTGACCCAAGTCACTTTACAGAACTGGGATGATACGCTTGTCGTCCTCCTCCATTGTGAGAATTTGGCCCCTTTCGCTGAGCAGCTGGGGATCGTCCGACGGTGTCTCGACGCCATGGCATTTATGGCGTGCATGGAGTTCTTCGACCCAGTTGTGAAAAAAGCCTTCCCTACCAAGGCCGAGGATCCTCATCGCTGGACGACGAACATGCGAGAAACCTCGTCTCTCCACTGGTGGATACAGGACGTTGTGGCCATCCCGTCCAACTTGTTTGTGAAATTGGTGCTAGCATTGCGCCGAGAGGGTATGCAGGAGAATCACGTCGGGCAGGTGATCATGGCATTCGCCGATCGGTGGATCTTTGGCTCAAGAGCGGGCTCTCTCTTGGTGCAGAAGGGGAATGACAAATGTTGGGTACTGGAATCGCAAGTAACGCCTGAAATGCCTGTGCTGATTGAGGCTGTGGTTCGCGTGCTGCCCTTGGAGCGGCACGTTGTCCCCATTCGCTTCCTCTTCGGGCTGCTCCGGCGCGGACTCCGCTGCGCCTTGCACGATGACTGCAGGTAGAGTGCGGGAACGGCAAGGTCATCTTGTTCTGAAAGAGTTTTTATTGGAAATTGGTGAGCACATGAACTGACATTGAGTCCTCATTTAATGTGTACAGAATCCAGCTCGAGACAAGAATTGCATTACAGTTCGAGCACGCGACGCTGCACGACGTTCTCCAACCATGTAAAGAAGAGAAAGACGACATCTATATTTTCAGGAACGAGATTGATTCCATGGAAAGAATCCTACAGCTCTTCCTTACAAGGTTCCGAGGGTATGACGAGGGTAGACTGCCCGACATGGCCATTCTCTCGGCGGTCGAGAAGCTCTGGGACGAGTACCTTACAGATATTGCGTGCCATTCGAGCTTATCTCCCTCCAGATTCGCAGAGCTTATTGACAGGGTCCCCGCCTACATGCGCGTGGTGCACGATCATGTGTACTGCGCCATTCACGCATACCTCAAGGTAATCCTCCAGCTCGTGTATGGTTAAATTCCACTATATTGTTTAGTCCATGGCGTTCAGGATGGGAACATAGATGCTAATTTGATTAGAATTGCGCAGGCGCATCCAAATATCACGCATGAGGAACGGTTGCGCGTTTGTCGAATCCTAAACTGCCAGAAACTGTCGCAAGAGATGTGCACGCACGCTGTCCAGAACGATTTGATGCCGTTGCCACTCCTCGTGCAAGCAATGTTCATGCAGCAGCTGCAGACGCAGTCTGTGCTGACCTCGCATATCGAATCCGCCTCGCACCCGTCACAAGCCGAACCCTACAGCCACAACCATAAACGGTTCACCCTCCCGGAAAACACCTCCACGTTCTTCTATCCCTCCGCGGAGAATTCAGCTCGGCATCACTCGTGCGATTATTCCCAAGACACATTCCGGTCGGTGGAATCCTCCTTCCGTGACAACCATCTCTGCATGAACGACCTCATGACCGCTGCATCTCAAAACATCGTCGTGAAGGAGGAGGATAGCACCAGCGCCCACATGGTGCCGGTGTTACCCTCGAAGGTTGACTACCAGGCCACGGAGAGCAGGTTGAGGAGCTTGGAAGCTGAGCTGAGCAGCATGGGCAAGGCGCTCTCACAGAACATGGCTGAGCAGCAAAGCCATGAGCTATCCTGTCGGCAAGCAGCTTCGACAAGTTCCGGAGCTCATCCCCTGAAAGCATTCGTTAATCCCAAGCCGGCGAAGAAAACCCCGCTGAAGAAGCCGAGGGCTCCTGAGGGAGTGGAAGTTGCGATCTCGAATTGTGGGCCCATGGGGTGCATGGCGCAGATGAAGCCTGCTGATCGATCTAGTGGGCTGATCGCCAAGGCTCTGCAGAAGCTAAGGATTCGGGGCTTTGGCAAGTCGAAGGGGGCCGTGAAGCTCACCGAACCGGTGATCAGTCCACCCATCTTAGCGTCTGTCGAGATAGCCTCTCTGAGGCATTGTCCGATGCGAGCGATACTTCCCACGCATGAACCACCCATGTTCGAGTCTGAGATGGGGCGGTACGTGGGGCGGACGAGTTCCATGTCGCGGCCGGTGACAAGCCACGACATGAGACTGCACCACGTCCGCCACAGGTCCTTGTCTTGATCAAACCGGCGAGTTGATGCCATGTCGATGCAAACATCCATGGCGTCTTCCTCACATTCAAATCCGAACCCCACTACTCGATGCGGGCGAACATTCAGCACCCTGACGCGGGTTGCAGGATTCTTCGTACCCAGCTCGGAGTCGAAGCTCGATCGAAATCCAAGCTCCACCATCCAGCTTCTTGAGCATGAGTCTCCATCTGTCGGCTTGCTCTCATTTTACGTCTAGGTATTGATCGCGTCACTCGTCGATCTCTAGGCCGCTGCAACACTGCACTTGTCGAGCAACTGCATAACGTTGAGATCGATCAGAAAGGCCACTCTGATCAATTCGCTGAAGAGTGATATTTCCTTTACAGACGAGGCCGGCAAGTTGTGTATGAATGCTAGTTTGTGTCGACGATGGCTGCTTGCAGCGCCGACTTTCCGGCTCCGTAACCTCACTGCAAATGTGGGTGCCAGCAACACCACATCGGAATTGCACCGCAATAGCTTGTTACCCTTTCTCGAGAGATGCAGGGTTTGCATGGTTTGCTTTGCTGAATTTTTACCAGCGTAGACGAAACTTTTAACGTTGCATCTTCTCCTCCCATGAAACAAAAATCATTTAGGCCTCAATAAAACTTTAACTGTACACACACCATATTCGTGAAACTTCTCTTCATCTATGTATTCACAATTTCAACACTTTTAGAGCAACCCTCAGTTTAGGAACATCGTTTCTTCACGTGGTGCAGAGCAGACTTGCAGCGGAACCAAACAAGCTCAGAATGGTCGCATTGTCACATGCTTTTTCATGTGTCGGTAGAGTCTGGAATTCTCACACATTGTGAAGCATCAGAAATGGCGTTTTCTGCAATAATCTTCAATCCCACATGTACCATAATAAGTAGTACAATATTAATCCAAAACAAGTAAAGGAAGTTGTTTGAAAACCAAGTGAAAAGGACATTCAAGGATTTTTTGGAGTAAATTAAATCAAAAAGGTGTGAGCTATGGGATATAGCCTTGGCTATTTAACAAGTTCATTTTTAGTAACAACATTATCAAGAAGAGTTTGCTCCTCCTGTGTTGTGCTATTTAACAAGTTCATTTTTATTAACAACATTATCAAGAAGAGTTTGCTCCTCCTGTGTTGTGCTATTTAACAAGTTCATTTTTATTAACAACATTATCAAGAAGAGTTTGCTCCTCCTGTGTTGTGCTATTTAACAAGTTCATTTTTATTAACAACATTATCAAGAAGAGTTTGCTCCTCCTGTGTTGTGCTATTTAACAAGTTCATTTTTATTAACAACATTATCAAGAAGAGTTTGCTCCTCCTGTGTTGTGTTGCTTGCTTAGTGCCTAAGTAGAAGAGGGGAGAGAAGACAAATTGTCTATCTAGATTGAATCAACTATTGATATAAATATAATGCATTGTGTTTATTTAGGACTTTAGTTCAAGAGTTTGTTTATATTATTCATTAAAAATAATTATAAATTTATTTCAAATTTCATATTTTTATTATAGATAAAAAAATGATAAAATAATATATTATTAATTAAACTTTAATTACAATATAAAATAGTGCTATTTAAAAACCTCAAACATAAAAAGATTCTTATACTCACTTTTGAATACGCTAGTGAGTGGTTTAATATTTTTTAGATTTTCATAAAATGTTTGATAAAAATTATTTTTACATCTTACATCTACTAAACAATAAATTGAAGTTGAGATTCTTGCTACCAATCTATTTGGCTTTCATTATACTATGGAAGATTCTATAATAAATTTAAAAGAAATTATATCTAAACTAAAATTCTATAATTAATCAAGAATATTTTTTGGCAATTAGGTCTCTAGGTCACTCTTCAAACACGGTATTGAAAGGCTAGGTTTTAGGATATTATAAGAAAATTGAAGATAAACATCAATACTTAAGCAATTATTTTAATACATGGTCTAACTCAAGAGAGAAACAAAGTATGTCCATTAGAAGAATATCACAAGTTAATGAAGAACATCATTTCCAATTTCTGCAAAATTGTTCATCCACAAAATCCATAGCTAAGTCTACATCTACTAAGGATCTTAATTATAATAGTCAATCTTGCTTGCTTTGAGGCAACTAATATTCGACTTCCATTATTGATTCTACTATTTACAAAAGATCCAATGCAAATTTGTATCTTTAAATCATAAGAACAATTTAATATTCATCATCATATCAAAAATATAAATATGTTAGATTATCGATAAGCTCTAAAAATTAAAACAATAATAGAAATGTTAATACAAATTCAACAATCTCAGTCTTAAAACAAGCACAAATGACTTAGTACTATGTTAGAATTACAAGAAATAAAAGAATATATTAGAAAATATAACCAAGTACTAAATCTAAGAATTTGTATAGAGCTCAAACGGATCTTACTTCTTCCAATTGTCACCTTACCATCATAACTTTGTCTTACAATTTTGTAAACAAAATAATAAAAACTAATCTCAACACCAAGTTAAAATAAAAATAAAATTATAAGTAGAAAGAAAAATAAATAAATCTAAAAAAGACTTGAGTATTGATATCTTGATTACATCTCTAATTAGAATTAAGATTCTACCTCTAAATGCTAGATAGAGCTTCTTCTATTGTAGATTCTAATATTGCCAAAATAAGCTTGGATATATATATATATATATATATATATATTTAATCTTTACTCCAACAATCTTCTATGCTAAACCTATGTAATTATAATTTTTTTTTTATTATTATTATTATTCATGATTTTTTTAGATTCTAGGATCATGGCTGATTCTGCAAATGATATATTATAGGCAACTATATCCTATAGGCAATTATGTTCTAGTCTCTTCTACCAAGTGTGGATTCAAGATATTCATATCTGAGTAGAATAACAAATCAAGGCTATGACATAGATGTAATAATAAGTGGACCAATAAAGCTTAGATTTCACGTACACCAAGTAATAATTAATTGTATTAAAAATAAGCAAGTAGAACCTAAAATATCAATTCATAAGATTATAGTACAAGTTGAGCTTGTAGTATTTGAATTAATTGCAATTCAAATCCACACAACTATTATAATGGCCAAGTCAATGGAATTTGTCTTAAATCCATACAACTACCATAATGGCTAGGTTAAGGGAGTCTAACCTATCTACATTAATAATACAAGCAAATATCAAATCAATAGGTCTTGAGAAATGAAAAACACTAGTTTATCAACTCTTCTACAAAGATCAATTCCAAAAGTTCTACAAGAATTAGAAGCCTTGGAAACACAAGCATAGAAGGTGCTACTCTAGAAGCATGTATTACACCACATGGTAGCTAAAAGATAGATTACAATCTTTTAAAAGATACCTTAGTTTAATTTATTTTGAAAGCAAGAACTCTACATCTTAAATTATTTTAACCTAAGACCTTTTCATACAACTACTTTGATTCAACATATGATAAAAAATCCCACTCTCTTCATATTTATTAAATATGAATTAATCATGATTTATGATTTATGTTATATCTTCAATAAAAAATATAGGTGACATATATAAAAGACAATATGGAATGATTACTAGTCATTGAAAATATCATATATAGTCTCTAAATATTTCTAAAATTAGAGGCTCTTGAGATGACAAGATGCAATAGAAGATTTGATTCTTGCTTGTATAGAAATAAAACTGATATCTTTTAATCCTATCTCAACATTCTTGGAGGTACTAGATTCTTTCTTCAAAATCAGATAAATATTTCTTCAAACCAATTATTTAGTCCTTATCTTTATAATATTTAATTATGTATAATGAAAGACATAGCATGTAGTTTTAGAAACCTTAATTGACAATTGAAGAGTCTGGTAGTGATTCCTTTTTATCTTAATATTTAAGTTAAATATTTTATCACATAATGTAAAGGATTTCAAATGACCATTGACAAATATTAAGTTTAAAAATTTATATTTGGAGTATCTCTTTAAAATCTGATAATATTTTTTTGTATTAACACAAATTTTGTAGCTCTAAGGTCCAAGATTAAAGAAATTCTCTATGGCCTAACATAGGTTTTTTACATCTTAAATGCAATCCTTGGATATATAAACAACGTAAATGGTGCAAGTGCAAGGGAGGTTTATATATTTATTTTTTCAATGTTTAAATATCTAGTTAGTAATTTTTGTACTCTTATATACAAAAGAATATCGTAAAACACATTCAAAGACATTACTAAAGAATCTATTGGAATTGTGAATATCCATATATCAAAAAAAATTTAGAAAGACGTCAACTACAAGAAGATTCAGCAAATGTTCTTCTTTCTAAGGTAGAAACTGCAACATCATTGAAGAGACAAGGAATAATTTGTTTTTATAGTAGAATGTTATCTAAAAATACAAAGATTTATTGGAACTATTTATATAATTATTTTTTATTTAATTAATAATTTAAAACAAAGATTCTTATTGAATTAATTCTATAATAATAAAAAATAATACAAGGATCTTGAAAAGATTAAAAAAGTTTTAATTAAATTCTATTTTTTATAAAAAAAAAGATAATGAATAAAAAAATATTAAAAAATATTGTATCATTAGATCACCTTCTAATTGAATTTATGTTTTAACTCCAAAAATCTAAATCTAAATAATTAAATTTTAAAATAAATATTTAATATTTAGATAATTCCAAATTTTTTCAATAGGTTATTGAAATCACAATTCAATATAATAATAGATGATCATTTCTACAATGTATGATTTTTTTTATTTTTTTATTTTTTTATAATTATCTTTCTAAAGAATAAGCCTTTTTATGTTCAAGGCATCATATTGAATTCCAAGGTCAATTACAAAAGGCCTATTGTGCAATCTATTCTAACCCTTAAGACAATGGCCTTCAAGCTTGTTTTTAACAAGTTCTAATATCTTTCAACCAACTTAAAGATTATTAATAAGATGAAAAGTTAATATGTGCTAAAATTAAATAGAGACAAATATATGATAATATCAAAAAAGTTTAATATTCTAAATTTAAAAATTATACTCCTAAATCTACTATTATTAAATATAAAATTTTCTAAGATAGGCTTCAAAGAGAATTTTAAGATCTTATAAATATTTATTCTTATTTATATTCTAATATTTACAAAAAGAACCTTAAGGATCTTATAAATCTTAGAAAGCTATAATTATAATATTTTATTTTTTCATGTGTGAGATTATAAAATATATAAATAAGAATTTATCTAAGCCATTTAATATATATAAGATTGAAGAAGTTTTTAAGAAAATGGCTATAAATTAAATTTATGGATATAAATGAATAGTTATTAAAATTTTCAAAAACCTTTGGCATATCATAAGCATTGATTATATTCCTATGATTAACTATACTTTAAGAAAAAGTTGGTTTATATATATATCATTGTTAAGAACATTTTAAATGGATATGGGTACTTAACACAAATATTAATAAGCTCCTTAGAACCTCTTTTATTATTTTCTTGTATATTCAACATGCTAATTAAATTTTTATTGACAAAATAAAGAAAAAAAAAAAAAAATTACTTGAGCTATATCAAAATTGTTGTAGTAGATCAAGCTATGTTTATGATTATTTATATTTATATTTATATTTATATTTATTTTTAGCTATTTGGATTTAAAAAATAATAGTTTTTAAAAATTTAAATCTATAGTTAACTTTTTTTGTTGGAAAATACAACTTTTTTAATAATTTTTAAAGTAAAATAGTTCATTTGTTGTATAAATCGTGAAGAAGATTTTTGCATTGTCAATCCATAAGAAGCCACCAAAGCACTTGTATCCAAATGGATGTTAGTGACACTTTAACTAAATCAATCAAATATCTAATAATTTCTTGGATTTAGAATGATAAATATTAAATCTACAACTTTTAGGAATTAGGTATAAGATCTTGTCTTATCACTCATTTTAAATCTTGAATAGAAAACAAGGTTTAAAATATAGAATAAAATTAGAAAATTATAGACACATCTATTTTAATTATTTTTACTAAATTATCTTATTTATTTTAGAATATTTAGAATCATCTCTTATGGTAAAATCTTCAATTTATTCTGATTGGAATTCATTTGCAATTCCATTAATCTACAATTCTTTATTCATATGGTCTTTATTGTGTCAAAACTTTATTTAAATGGCCATTGACACCATTCACTATTAAAAAAGCCAAATCTACGTAGCACATTCCACATTTTCTTTTATCTTATTTGAAACTTCTTCTACATTTGTTTTTCAATCTTTTAGAAACAAATGCTTTATTATAATAAGATTCTTCCAAAACTAAATAAAAGAAATTAGTTTACATAAATCAAAACAAGATCATCTTCTTGAAGTCGTTTTCCAATTTCTTTTGAAAGATATTGGTGTAGAAGGAAAAATAGTTTGTTCTACTTTGTTCTATTAAAATATATATTTTTTAAAATATTCATTCAATCTAAATTTTTTAGTTAGATAATAAATTTTTTTGGACAAGTCTTAATAAAAATAAAAATTAAAAGGTTATTTTTTTTTAATTTTTAATTTTTTTAACTAATTAATATATAGTCAAAAAATTTAAAAAATAATGGTGTTAATTTCTTCAATTGTCAAGTATGTGATTTGAAGTTTGATATTTTATTATTATCTTAAGTCATTAAAAAATCATATGACATATTTTTCTAAACTTGGCAAAAAAATACTTTAATCTATTAATCCTTCTATCCAACCACTAATTTAGTGGCATGCAAATATAATACTCTCCTTGGCCAAGTTTTCTTTTTTAATTAAAAAAAATGATGTCATAAGTAATTTAGAAGTAATTTGGTAGTAATTTGATTTCAATCCAAATTGTCATATTTCTAAGCTTTATTAGTATTATATTTTCTTATGAACCAAGGTATGTGAGTAGTCAACCTTGATTAGAAATGTGCTTTAAATACAATGGTGAAGTTGATTTGGCCAAAAAATATCTCTATGGCTTATTAGATGGCTTAACCTTAAACTTGGATTTTGATCTTTAAATCAATTAGGATTGTAGATCTTAATTTGAACTCTTTGGAGTTTAAGGATAGAGATATAGCTGCCACCTTGAGGTCTTAGGAAAATTATATAAGAAATCTCTTGTGTTCATGTAGTTGAGATTTTATTTTATTTTATTTTTTGATATTTAGACAAAGCCGTACAAGATGTTTTTTAAGCTTTTGTAAGTAGCTTTGGTTTTTTATATTTTTCTCTCAAGTTTTAGAAAAAGTTCTTGAAAATTTAGATTAAAATATATATTATAGATATTATCATTGATGAATTTGAGATGTAATATTAGATGTGTATAAATGAATTTGAAGATGAATCTTAGAAGGTAGATATGTCTTAAAGGCTTCTTTCTAAGTAGACTAATTGTACCTAATTTAAAGCTTAGTAATAAATATTTTACATTATTTTGTGAAGGAAGGTGCAACATTAGCTTCTATTGACTTTTTACTCAAATAATTTTGAAGAACTACTGGTAAGTTGCTATGGATTAATTCTAAATAAAAGGTCTCTATAATATAAGCATGGTTTGGAATGGTTTTATTGAATGTAGACAAATTTGTTAAAAATTTATTTAAAAAGTAATTAGCAAAGTATCTATATTAGTCTTTTCTACTTTGGAGATAGAAGAACTCTTGGATGGCACAACACATACTTGGTTATGGAATTAACAAAGTAATTAAATAGAACTCTAAAATACCTCAATATGGTAGAAACACATAAGTATAAACAAAATTTCTTTAATAATTACTCTAGGATTTTGATGTTTTTAATGTGGCCTCTAAATATAAGGTATTAAGTATTCTTTTGTAATCTTTATACTCCATTGATAAATTGTTGTATCTTGTTTTTTATTAAAAAAATTAAAATAAAAAATACACAAATACCTAATATTTATTACAAAAATAATATTAAATTATTATTATTTTTTTTTACTAAGTATTTGATAGATATAAATGTAACAAAGATGTACATGTGGCTCAAAAAATACTAAATCAATAATAAACATATTGATAAATTCATATAGAAAATGTTTTTTATTTCTAAAGATCAAACAACAAAAGATCAAATTTTAATTTTGCTTTGAAAAGACTACACCATTATATTGTAGATAAAAAAATTCATGTGAAATAAGAATTGATTGGAAACTTATATTGAAGTTTATTTTTTAAAAAAAAATATTAAAATTTTTTATGACTAAAAATTAAAAATTAATAAATTCATTTTTTAAATTTAAGATATGTAAGGTCTTTTAAAACATAAACTTAAGGTTCCTATGTTTAAATGAATATGGCACTAAAGATATGAAAGCATGTTAAGATGTGCATTGCTTATACAATAATGAAAGATTGAAATATATAAGTATTACTTAAAATTTTAAATTTAAAACAACTTAATAATTAAAAACTAAATACTAATTTTTTTCCAAATTACAAAGTCTTCTAAATGTATGAGGCTTAAAAAACCTCAAATGCATTTAAATCACAAATAAAGTTAAAAAGATTTTTCTACAAAATAGATTGTAAAGAAGTTTGAATTAATATACTTAATTCATACTACAATAATAGTAAATTTATATCTAAACTAACATCTCAATAATATATATATATATATATATATATATATATATTAAAATGTTATCAAAATTCACACAAAGATTAGATAGTTTCTTAAGTATAATAAGTAATTTATCTTTTAACTTTTATTTTTATTTTTTTCACAATTTTATAATAAGTACATAATCATATTTAACACTATATTGATTAGAACTATTTTTGTATCTATAATAATACTTTTACTCTTCCCAAAATTTCATCCTCTTATGTATAAAAAATAATTATCTCAACTAGTTTATCAATCAAGAAATCAACATTCACCTTCACTATCATTTTTTTTAAGTAATCAAAACACAAACCCTAGTAGACCACAACTCAAAAGTTATCACACATGTATATATATATATATATGTTTTTTTTTTCTTCTTTTCTAAAATTTCCTAAGTTCTACAATAACAAGCAAGAATCAAGCAAAACCACTAATACAAAGTTGCATTACACACGCATATCCGAAGCCAAGGGTGGCAAGTTACTATTACCGACACCGCCGAAGCGCGATTCAAACGTCCCAACACCTCGCTACCGACACCGCGATGGATCCTCTCGCGGTCCACAAACCAAGTCACGGATCGACGATTATCTTCGTGAGAAACGCCAGATCGGGTCTAGACGTAGGACAGAACTGGAGTGGAATCCACCCACAAATAGTGCACATGGGATGCGGTGGAAACGGAACCATGAGTGCTATGCAGTAAAGTGAAGTGAAGTGACAGGAAGTCGCGTTCGGCGTGGGCATAAATCGATCAGCTGCGAGCAAATGCAGGTTGCGGTGATGAATGCATAGAGAGAAATTGAGGAAGAAAGCGAGGAAGCGGAGCGAGAGGAGAAGTTGGATGTTCAATGAAAAGAGAACAAACAGATTCCATCCGGCCGCGTTCATGGAGCTTCCTTGCGGTCGCCTGCTGGCTGGCTGGCAAGCTCGCACGCAGCCGAGCCCCTCCATCGCTGAGCACCTCATGTTAAGGGCCATCACCCCGCTGACAGTTCGGTAATCCCGTTCTCATGCATTCGCTTAAGGTATTTTTATCGCTTTTTCCCGCATCTCTGGATTTTCATGGATGCCGAAGCGGCGATGGTGGGCTTGGAGGCAAGTGAGTCACGGAGAGGATGGTCCACATCGGCGTTTAAAATATAGTAGAAGAGGTTGACTAGGAAGTGCATGCCATCACCTCGATTCATACTTACGGTGCGAGTTGCCAAATTTTACATGCGCGCCACTACCTTCCCTCTCCCCCCTCGTGCCCTGATCCTTCCTCAATCGCTTCTGCTTCTTCTGTGAGGGGCTGTTTGCTTTTCAAGTTGTTCTGCGACTGCCGTTTTGCTCCTCCCTCCGTCCTCGGGCACTATCCCCTTAGGTCCTAATCTGCACCTGCATTGCCCTCTACCCTCCTCCTTGGTACGTTTCCGAAGCAATAGTGGAAGCTTGTTGTTGTTTTCTCTTGTTGTGGGTCTTGTTTCTCAGGGTGGAGGGGCCGATACTGAAGCTTGCCTTCCGAGATGAGATGAGCTTGCGGGTGTGTATTTGGTGAGTTCTTTGGTGTTTTGCTTTGCGCCGCGGCGCCTACTTTACGGCTACTATCTTACTGGTGTGGATTGCGAGGTTTTGGCGGGGATTTGTGTCTTGCTGTGTTTTTCAGGCTCATCGTCTGATTCAGCGTTTTTCAGGTGTTTTTTTTTGTTTCTGTTTCTTTACCCACTTCTAGCTCTTACCACAGCTGTCGCGTGTTTGATGGATTTTGCTCTGAGATCCATAGATTTGTAAAAAATGGCTGCTCGTCTCCGCCGCATTCTGTAGAATGCTGTCGCCCCTGTCTTCTTTGTATTTTGGGGATGTGTACTTGCACGCCTTGGATATAATTTGACACTGCCTCGAGATAAAAAGATTGTGAAAAGATTGTATGTTGCAGACGACAGTGTACGTCTAGATTCTTCGAGGAACCCCGTTGTGCAGCAGCAATTATTAGACGCTTCCTTCAGTCGCGACATTCGTGGTACATCCAAGGGGTCAGACATGCTACGATTTGACAAATTTGGTTGAGGTATCGGCCTTCATTTGAGCAGCAGTTTATTGCCAGACCCATTTGTCAGTTACAATCTGGCATTCCTTCACCGTTCCTCTCTGTATGGAAAATTGTTCCCGTCATGGGTTTGTTTCATCGACCAAGCTGCCCTGTGGTGGGGGTTATCTTCCAGTTTGTCGATCCTCATGTCCCTGGACTTGAGCTGCCTCTTTGGATGTCCTTCCGTCCAAATATATCTTGTGATGCACGATCTTGTGGTTTCGAAACTAAATTCACGATACCGAGACTTGTATCAAAGATGCCTCGAATCACGAATTGTTACATGTTTGTTGCCAGATGACAGCGGAGTGGGAGATGCATATCTAGGGCTATTCCGCTTGGGCTATCTATTTTAAGAAATCAAGTTTTCTGGAAGAGTTAATGCTTGTGGGCACGATGGTGAGCCCCCGAGTGGTCCTGCTTTTCGCAGGCATTGTATTGATGCTCGGTCAGTGCTGCGTCGTTGAATCACAACCTTCTTTGGGCACATTTACTTTAGGCTTTCTCGGCCCTGCAGCCGAATCAGAGATTCCAACCAAACTGGCCATCGAATGGTAATTAGCCTCACCTTCCTTAGCACTTAATTTCTACACTCTTACATGAATCAATTTAATTACCGCTTTGTTATCTCACCCACATGACGGTTTTATCACTCATCGTCTTGTTTATTTCTATTTTCTTCCAGGGAGTCAGCTTTCAAGGTGGCTGTGGAGGTTTTGAACTCAAAGGGCCGTCCATACATACTCTCTCCCCGAAGCGAATACAGTGACTGTGATTGGCAAAAAGCGTATCATGGTGCCGATGTACTTCTTAATCTGGACCCTCTTACTTACCCTCCAGTGATTGGAGTTGTTGGGCCTGCGTGCAGTGGGGCAGCTATGGCCTCCTCCCCGGTGATGAAGGTTAAAAACATCTCCATGGTATCGTTTGCCGCCACCTCCGAGGCGCTAGCAGCGGACAGAGACTTCTCCGACAACTTATATCGTACAGTGTATGTGGCGCTATTTTGTGGTTCGCATAAATATTGCTAATGCTTGGAAAGGAATTAAAGATAGAGCTCATGATTCTCCGAATTGGCGCATCTTTTTTCTGAATACGCAGATGCTTAGAAACTCTAGTTTATATTCAAGAAAGTGAAGAACTATTAATGCTCAGTGATTTTGCATATCCAATATCATCACAGATACAGCGACAACTATCAAGCTCAGGCCATTGCTGCCAGCGTAAGTTCTTGAGGCCCTTTCATGCTTGTGTAAGAGTGCTCATGCGATAAGAGAAAAACACAATCCACCAGACGTTTCCCTTGCATCTAATGCATACTGGGCACAGATTATATGAAAATTTGAATGAGCGGAGTCACGGATTGCTTCAGATTCTGTTCTTTGATATTGTGGACTAGTCGATCATTCTGTTGTTGCTCCTCTCGACATCTAATAGTTCAATGATGATGGGTGCAGATTACGAAGTTGAACATGACGGCTGTTACTGTTTTACATACCAAGCAATACTACTCTATGAATCTTGCGCAAAACATTCAGGAGGTTGGTTTTACCGCTAATCGTAGCTTACTGTATTGACACTTGGATTCAGCTGCAATAACTGTGTAAGCTTTTAGAAGTTCTAATCATGTGTCTGGTCTCCAGGCTGTAGCTGGAGCAATTCCAGTCAATGTCGTGATGCTTGAAAATGGAGAGAATTCCACTTTAGACTTCGTGCAGCTTAAAACCGTCTTGGACAAGCATGATCCCAACACTTTCGTGATACTGGTTATGCACCCTCAGCAGGCACATGATGCCTTTGAAGCCCTTAATGTGCAGGTCTGTTTTTTTAAACCTCCATTGATGACATCCATATGTATTATTTTGAGAGAGCTGTTTCTGTTCCCAACTAGTCAAGAAGCGGTTGCTATCGGTATTAAATTGCATGATTTTATGTACGAAATTTTGGCGATTCCTCATCAGACAGTTTTATCTTTTATCTAAGCTGATTCTTTGCGACATTTATGCTGTGTAGGGTAGGCTTGACAATCCCTGGTGGTACTTCGGCACTGATGGAGTCACAGCTCTTGACCCTGCAGATGAAAGTAAGACGCTAGTATATTTTCCAACGATCGCTCTTTCTTTGCACAATTTTCCCCCGCAAAATCTCTGCTTGAGTTTGTTCTAGGCAAACAATAGCGTAATTTAAATAACATGCGGGTAACGAAGTGCGTAGATACGATCTAATTTCTATCATGGTGGTGCACCATCTGCTCATGTGTGTTAATTTGAAGTGTCGAATCAGCCTTTACTTGCTGAACTCATCCCGTGTGATTGTGCTTTTGGTAGAACCTGAACTTGTCCAAAAGCTTTTGGGAGAGATCGGAATCGCACCTTTTGGTGAGTTTTCTTTCCAGGCTGGTCCTTCATTACGCTTCGTCTCAGAAATTGCATTTTATTGTATTGATGCGCTTATAATTGTCCGCTACTGTAGCACTCAGGCTTGCTATGAGTTTTCCCTGGAGGGTATTTGTTTGTTCACTTAAGCCTGATATTGTATATTTCTGAACTTGCAGGTGGTGATTATTCCAATACTTCCGAGTGTGGGGAGTACTGGACTTACTGGGAGCAGGCAGGTTATCCAGGCCGGCCTGTGTCAGGAGTATCAAAATCGCGATCATACACCCCCTACCTTCTCGACACTGTCCATCTGTATTTTGTTATCTGTGATCACCTAGTTAGCACCAATCAAACTATCACAGCTCAAAACATATGGAATGTCCTCAAGGCTGGCCATCCTCCGTTTCTAGGGTGCACTGGGGAGGTAGCTATTTCTCCAATAACCGGCAGTCGAAACATCTCAGTTCAACCCCCTATCTACGACCTTGTCTCATTAACCGTGGATGACTGGGAGGTGCGTTTACAGAATTTGGTTTTCAGTTTCAACGTTATTGGTATTTCCGTCTTCTAGCCCCCTTAAACACCTTGTGTTAACCGAATGGTTCGAACTCTAATCTTGAAGTGAAAGTGTCCAATCTGGTAAGTTGGTATATTTTTCTTACGCATCCTGGTTGCCCAGCAACTTTTGATGTCAAGCTGATCCAATTATTGACGCCACGACCTGGACCGAACTTTGCAGGCAAAAGGGAGGATCGAATCCAATAAGTTCATTTCGCTACAACCACTACAAAGACCTACTGGAACAGTATCCGTGAGTTTGAACTCTGCTGTGATGATTTTTGTGGCTTTTGCCTCCCGCATTTCCACTAGATCGAATTCGAACATTTTGACTAAACCAGTCGTTGTTTGCAGGCGGCAACTGCTGATAACCCTTCGAAGAAGAGCAATGCAGGAACTGTAGTTGGAATAATTTTTGGGTTGCTTCTAGCAGTTGCAATTGTTATTGGAGGATATATTGTGTGGAAACGGAGGCAGAACAACTATTATAACCCAACATCCTTTATCCGGACAATGCATTAAGGGAATTTTAGAGTAGTCTACTTTGTAGACTTCTTTTGTAACAGTAGCCAGCTTGAGGGGTCAGGACTGAAGTTCTCTCCCTCTTATTACCCATTGACAAATCCGTATAAATCTCCCTTTGCTTAGTGCTGTGCAACTTTAATAGACATTTATTGAAGAATTTGGTGTTGTTGCAGCGATGGTTGACCAATTCTTTTGGCCGTCCACCAGTCTCTCTGTGTGTCAATGTAACCTGTGTGAATCAAGTTTATTCTGAGGAGAATAATTTCGGTGTGATTTGATCAGCTCACGACTGCAAAAACACAGGTTTACTAAGCCCAAAATGGCTCCGTTTATATATTATCAACCGTTTCCATCTAATTCCCAAGCATTCATGGACCAGAACTACCGGAATGTCTGTTGCGTTTTTTCGATTCTGCCTGCAATGTCCCGCTAATTGCTCTCAGCACGATGGCAACAACCTCTCTCTGCGACGATCTCCCTCCCTCACTGGAGAAAGAGGTGATCCTCCTGAATGGTTTACCACAATTACAACAGTCGTTGTAAAGCAGCACACTGCAAGCTTTTCCTGAATTGCGATTGAATATGTAAAATTTAGATCATTTATTGCTCAATTGTCACCAAGATTTGACAGTCATCGCATTCTCTTTACAACAAAGAATTCTCAATTTCAAAATCCTGCGAAGGAAAATATTTTCATGTGACATGGGAGTAGCATTAAAGATGGGCTACTCTCATTTAATTATGAGATTTTATGAAGCTAATGCCGCGATGTCTACTGAATTATTGTTTTGCTAGGATCTTAACCTGAGCAACTGCTCGCTGGAAAACCTAATCACGAGCACATGGGACCGAGCAGTACACACCATCCTCGATTCATCTCTATCTCGTCAAACATCCCGATAGATTGTGTTTGTTTAGTTTTGGACTCTTTTACTTGTATTTTTGTGTTACACGGTAATATTAACAGATTTGTAGTGAAAGAACCTAGAACTTGGCCATTTCGAACTATGCCGATCATCTCGTGCGACCTTCATCGACCTGTTATCGGTGCAGGACATAGTGTTGCAGGGTTTGAAAGAGTCCCAATCCGAGCTTCTCAGCCATGTGAAGAAACTGAAAGAAGTAGGTCAACTCCCTCGCATTCTAATACAATAACAATCCTCTCGGTCTTCAGATCAACCCAGAATTTTGCAACAGTTTACCGAGCAGAAGTAGAAGTTTAAAGTGCAGCTTCTTACTTCAGCATTGGGTTGTTCTGTATGAAGGATTGGCAAGCAGACATGGATCGCCAAATGAATTCTTGTGAGCAGGTTGCTGCACAACTTCCAACAGCTTGGTTCATCTCTGGACATGTTTCCACGCGATACTCTTAATAAAAAAACATCTTAGGCCCCCAATTCATGTGACTGATAAAAAAACTACTACCAACACATCCAATGCAGGAAATCGAAGGTCTCAGCAACGCACACAATGCAGAGATGGAGAGGCTCCAAATCGTGAGTGGGTCTCTTCCAAACTTCGTTTTTTTTCTTTTTTTCTTTTTTTCTTTTGTGACCCAATTCGTGTGATGTGCGGAGGGTTGCAAGCAGGAGCTTCTGAGCCGCGCAAATGCCTTGAAAGAGCAGTTGTGGACGCTGCAACAGAATTGGCAGCTCGAAGTTGGGGCTCTCGCTGGCCCTCCGTCTCTGTCAGCGAAACCCTAATTCTCGCTAATCCTACAACAAACTCAAAACTCTTTTCCTGACAAAGCTGGAAATAATTATTATTATTATTACTACTAGGGAGTGCTTTGGGGTTTTTGTTTTAGGATTGGAAAAAAAAATGAAGGGAAACGTTACTTAATGTAAAGGAATGCATTAATTCTGATTGTAGTTGTGGGATTCAAAACTTTACCTCTAAGATCCCTCATATTACTTGGCTAAACTATCACATAGTTTCTATCATCTCATAGTTGTTTGTGCACATCGTGGTCGCACATCAATAGATGTGTTGAGCAGCACATTGAAGAAGATTGATTGGAGTACAATATATATTACATTTTCTTGAGTATAGGAGTTTGTCTCTGTAAGAAAACCATTACATTTTCAAAACAACCCCGTACCCTCCTTTGTTTATTTAAAAATATAATACTTTGATTAGTTTATTTTGAAGGAATTTTTCTTTCTGTTAAGTTACAAGGTCTTATTTATGTCTTTCACATGATGGTGATTCAATGATGTCTTTTTGATGATTTAGTGACTTAAGATGTAAAATCATACATCAATCAACATTCTTCAGTGGACTCAAAATCATTAACAATAGAAAACTTTTTTATGTTCAAGTGTAAAATCTTGGTCTTTTTATTTAGAACAAAACAAAAGATTATTAAATGTTAGTATTCTTAATCAAATCTTGCTAAAACCTAGTTGTAGATCCAATACAACATTAGTGGAGTAATAACTTGCTTTAAATGGATTATTAAACAAAGAAAAATAAAGAGTTGTTGTGGAATAGAAATCTATGTTTAAACTTGGTAGTGAAGAGATGGGTGGCTGTTTCAATACCCAAACTAGAATGCACATATTCATGGTTGAAGGCAAAAACACATAAAGGATTAGTTATTAGTTGTATATCAATTTCAGAAAAATAACCCTATTATCAAACTTCAAGACAAGTATTCTATGTAATTTTTACTTGAAGAGGAAACAATATTTTGCAAATTATGATTGTATTTATCAACCAACCAAATAAATGTATTATTTATTTGACAAATTTACTTATAAAAACTACAACCAAAACCTTCAGTACACACTACAACAAGCCTTTGTTATATTCTTAAGTAAATAATACTAGAATTATTCTAAAATTTTGTAAAATCTGAATTTGCTCTAGCAACACTGGTTGTCATTTGAATTTTGAGTATAGAAAAATGTCTAAAATCACATACATATTACATAGCATAAATACAAACAAAGGTAATTTCTATTCTTTAGAAATTAACAATAAAATTTGCTCAATTAGTATAGAACAATCTTAACATAAGCACAAATAAAATTGTCTACTATCAAGAAATTATTAATCAGAATTTCAAAACTATAAATTTTGACAAATTACTTGGGTAGAAGAAAAATAAGACAAAGACCTTGTCATCCACATCTTACTGTTGAAATTGTTACATAATAAGAGATCATGTGGAAGTTTTAAATAGTTTTGACCATAATGTATATCACATAAATTTAATATATAATTAATTATTTATAAACTATACATATACACAAGTGAATTTGTACTACTATAATCCACTTTCTTATATATAAAATATACAAATAAATAAATAAATAAATAACAAAATAAAACCTAAAATAAGAACATATTTGATTAATAAATATTAGCAAAGATATATATATATATATATATATATTCAATATATTAGTTTATACAAAGTATTTGGTTTAGGAAAAAAATTGAAAACTTATTTCTTCTACATTCATAAAAAATAGTCCACATATTGATAAAAACAAAAACAACTCTATTTGTATCAGTTTTTTTAGAAAATTTTATTTTTATTTTTTAAAAAATATATTCTAAAAGTTTATAGCTTTGACATACTATATATATATATATATATATATATACACATAGTTTTTTTCTTTTATCTATTCATATATTCATTATTTATTTTTTATTTACAATAAAATTAAATTTTAAAAGGGATATTTTTGCATCATTGTATAATGCTTGGCATGATATCATCTCATCTTTATGATTAAATCAAATCAGATGGTGAATTTAATTGAATTGTAAAAATAAGGAAAATTTTATATAAATGTTTTTAAAACCACAACTTTTATAATTTTGTAAAATTTGAAAGCTGTACACCTGATTTGAATACATATGATTCGATTTTTCTATTCAAAAAGAATTAGGACAATAAATTGTTTAATGTATACTCAATGTATTATGAACTTCTGAATTATAAAATCTGATTCTTATAACAATTTAAATATAAAATACAATTAACAATGCAAAAGGAAAGAAAAAGATTTTAATAAATTATCAATTGTCAATTTAGTAAATTAGTCAATCTTTGGTATTGTCAATTGAATTTGATAGAATAAGTAAATTTATATATATATATATATATATATATATTTATACATATATGAGAATGAAGCAGTCGCATTTTAGATCAGCTGCCCTTGGTAATAGGGTTTTAATTATTTTTTTGATTAAGTAATTAAAGTATCTATTTGCAAAAAATGGGTGATGCTTATATGTGATTATTATTTTTGATTCCAAAATCCTATTTTTTTTTTAAAAAATCTTGCTTAATTCACGAAATATTTACCATCAGTCATTTAACACCAACACAATGAAAAACCAAAAAAAATAAAAATAAAAATGACACTTCAAATTCACCAACAAGTTAATTGTTTGTCACATTTTCAACAAAACTCAAACCATACACATGTATGTCATGAGCATCATAAAAAGTGCCATCTTCACAAACAAATAATGTTTCTACAACATTTTTGAGAGTTTAATTTTTAATAATATAAGATACATAAATGGGAAGATTTGCATATTGCACGAGGTACTAGCTTAGAGAGTTAAGAGCCCTAAGAAAAAGCTACAAAGTCCTTTTAAGAGTAGTAGGCTTTCTTCATGGGCTCTATAGAGTTGCCGGTGGGTTGCATCCTATTGAGACAAAAAGAGAATCCTTACTATAAAACTATGCTCCATTTCCTTTAAAAAAATGGAAGAAAAAAAAGTACACGGAAGCTCTTGAGGGGACACCATGAAGGGCGAGCTTGGAGCCAATGGAACCAACTTGTATTTTGAGGATTGTGCATCCAATGGAGCCAATTCCTTGAAAATAGTGCCCCACTATTAGATTCTCCCCATGTGGAGATAATCCCTTCTCTCTCTTTAACAAAACATTTTATAAGCTATTTATGAGTTTTTATTTCACTATGATCCAATAAATGAATGGAGGTCTTGTTTGGGATTGATTTCATGATAGGCATTTGAATGTATTCGGAGAAGTTGTGGGGAGAATAGTGTCATTGAATATCTCATTTTAGCATGTAAGGAGTCGTGTGTTGTGCATATTAAAATGTGATCTCGAGACAATATTGTCTATTTGTATAACTTTTATATGTGCTCGCATTGATTGCATAATTTGTATATATTTACTTAGAAAATCAAAATTTTCAATTATGTATGAATCACGCTTGATGCACAATAAATGTGAGAAGTGTCTATGAATCTTTGTCTTGCACTATTCCAACTTGTCTTTTGTATTGAATGTATCTATGAATCAAATGAACGAACTATTCTAAAAAAACATGATATTCTAATTTATGTTTTTTGATTTTTTAAAGCAACATGGTTTGTCTGGTTGGTAGCAGTGAAGGTATGTTGGGATGTTGCTTTTCCAGAAATATGAGTTTTAATTTTAAATACCATTCTCCTTGAAAACATTGCAACTAAGTTGTTTAACATTATAGTAATTCCAGGGTTTAAACTTTAAAGCGATGAGAGAATGTGTATATATATATATATATATATATAATTATGCCTTACTCTTGGTTACATTTTTATATTTCTAACTCTTGGATATATTTTTATATTATTTTTTTTATAAAAATATTGAACAGAAAATATTATACTACATTGGATAAAAAAATGTTATTGAAATTTTGATAATTTCATTCACACGTTCAATATTAGAAACTGTCTAACAAATTGGTATATGTTTGAAATGAACACTAAATTTAGGTTGATTTGTTGTTGGGTTTGAAATGATATTTTTAATGTTACAGACTTCCCGTTTAAGGTTTATAATAAATTTATAAGCATTTTATAAGATGTTATACATTGAAACTTGAAAAAATATTTAATGGAATCAACATTGAAAAGAGATATATTTCAAACTTTAATCTGCTTTGTTTGCCCCTGAACACAATGAAATTCTTTTAAGATTAAATTGTTGGTTATAAATATGAAATATTTAATTTGAAGGGATTGAAGTTAAAAAATGATATTCTAAATTTCACAAATATGCTCATGCATGATAAATGTATCAAAATCCAGGTTTTATTTTTATTTATTTTTCCATGAAAAGAAATGCAGATTTTGATTTTACGTATTCTAATATTAACTATAGATTATGTATCATATTAGATAAATTTTCACTTCAATATAATTAGTACGATAGGTGTATCATATAGTAAATTGTAGGAAACTGAGATTTAGTATAAATATGAGAAATGTGTTGACAAACCTCAGAATAATTTCATTTTGAGTATATGAATAAGTTGTTACTTACGATAATGTATATATATATATATATATATATATATGTGTGTGTGTGTGTGTGTTAAATATAAGCTATAGTAGAAGAAAATGCATCAAGGAAAGTTTCTAGTATTGGTTATTTTCAATGGAGCTTCTATGGATATCTGATGTTTGTTTTGAGGTTCTTACAAACTGAAAAGAATGTTCATATACTCTTATGATCATTTGTTTTTACAATAGAATTGTTACATTTCTATTTATTTGTTTATTTAAATATACTTATGTATTCAAAATTATTATTATTCCATCTGAGTTTTTCAACTTCTAAAACATAATATTATTGTGCTTTTGATACAAACTAAGAATAAAGAGACTTATTTTTTTTATTAACATTCAATATTTCAAAGAATGTAACACAAAATGGCAACATTTTAATTGGAATATAATTTAAATTTACCTTTTTGCAGTGTGTATCACTCAAAGAGTTTGTTTGAAAAAAAATGAAATAATTCTAGTTATAGTATTATATTTTTATTTTTATTTTTACTTTTACTTTTGGAAAATTTATTCCAAAAACATTTATATCAATCAGTAGACTGAAATAAAAAGTCACATCCTTTTAAAGCCGCAAAAATCACAATACTTCAACTGTATCAACCAATATGTATAAAATTAATATTATCTTTCATTATTTGTACATAAAATTTATATGTATAATAATATGTATAATATTAACATGTATATTCACTTAAACATAAAAATGTAAATTT